ATTTTTGGCCATGGCACATATGGTTCTCCATCATTTACCCAGCTGGACCCCTATTTGTGCGACTTAAATCCAGATGTTTGTGGTCAAATTGTCAAATCCTTATTTTCCTAGCCCCACCATCCATTGCCCGTGTCAGACTCCAAGTCGCAAAGCAACGCGCGTAGACCACAGCATTAGCCAAGACGTTGGCATAGCCCTGGAAAACCTGAACGCGAAGACGCGAAGGGGATCCAATTTACGAGGATTCAAACAGCAAGATCGGGGATTTTTCACCATGAACAATAAGGAGTTTTCCCAATGAAAACTAGATTCATTTCACCAATGAAACATATGGATTTAGATTTGGCCAAAACTGGGAAAATTCACCCTTAAATATGACCTGTCTTTAAACCTAATGCGTTTCAAAACTTGGGCCCCATTCAACAAAACCACAAATCAGCGAACATTGTACTTCTGTTAGAAACTTGATACAAAAATAAAGGGGCAAAGCGAAGGTTCACTGCCTAATCTAATGATGTTGGTCCATCGAAAATGCATTTTACAAGCTAAAATAATTTACATAGAATATATATATATATATGATATATATATATATATATGTGTATTTACGATCCGCACATTTATATGTATCTGTATATATACATAGATATCGAACTAGATCTAATACTCTATATAATTATCTATATATATATATATGTAAATATATTTTTTTAAGGCGGCACACAACTTCAATCGTCAATGTGTCCAATATTCAATGGTGACTTTACTCATCCTAAGGATACTGCTCAAGGTTTCCCATGTTCGACTTCGTCCCACATGAGATCACATGAGCGCTCTGTCTTTCATATTAGCTCAGTACAGGAAGGGGGCCCAAAGATAGCGTTCAGTTGAGATATAAGTGGCTGAATTCTATGGTTTACAGCAAATATAACGACTATAGTTAATTGGGTTTATAAACCAACAAACATCACTGGGGGCCCCCATCCTGCAGTAGCCCACTGGTTCCATCGTTTTTCCCCGCATTTCTCGCCTTGAAAAGGTCTTCAGTGGATACCAACAAGGCACGACTTTCCTGGGCTTTCTCGGCCCCAGCGGCGATAGGGTGAAGTTCTTAGGGGTCCTCCATGGACCCTATCTTTCAACTATCTACTTATTCTAGTTGGTTGATAGGTGTCCCAATCCTATAGTTACTATAGTTCATAATCCCCATGAAACCAGGTAGGATTTAATCCTTCAGAATAACATTAATAATAACCATCTGGTTGGTGGTGCAATAACCATCTTGAAAAATATGAGTTCGTCAGTTGGGATTATTATTCCCAATAAATGGAAAAATCCAAAATGTTCCAAACCACCAACCAGTATTTGTGTCTAGCTGAATTACATGTTTCTTCCTCAAAAAATATCACGCACTTCAACCTGGCCTCGTTTGGGGGCTGCCAACTTGCGAACTGAGTGACCCAACAATCACTCACTAGTTAACACTCACCGAACGTATGGTACTATGATCATTCCCAACATCATCTCATCAAATACAGCCCAACAATTGAGAGAAAATATTGTGATATAGAGTCTTACCACCGGAAGGTATAGAGTTTTAATATAGAAAACCAGCCGAGCCACCTTTTTAAAATAGAGTTTTACCACCAGAAAACCGCCAAATTCCATCATTTTTGGAGGCTATCGATGCATCGAAAGTTGGTTTGTTTGAAGTTTTATGGGGAAACCCTCTAAATCTATTGAAGTTCATCATGATGTTCATGTATATTTCCCCCCAACAAATATGACCATGTTCATGGGCGAGCCATTCTTGTCATTTATTCTCCATTCTTTTCCCCCCAAAAAAGATCAACATTTTATGGCATCCACAGTTGATATGATATGTTCATGGATATGTTCCCGAATATGGCCATTTCTCTTCCACAAACCCATATGCTCCAATATATGCAACCCATGGTGCTGGAATTTGCACACCAACGTTTGCCCAAAATCCCAAAATCACCCAGTTGCTGGTAGTTTTTTATATACCAGCACCATGGGTTGCAGGCAGATGGGATCTGTTCCACCAACGTGTCAACCCGAGACCCGCCCAACCCAGTGGCCACCATGGATTGCAATTGTCCTTGATGGCGCCATGCCTTGACCCAGAGCGCAGCTTCGGCGATGTATTCCCCTGCCTGCGACGAAGCGAAACCCTGGGGAGGGTGAAAAAAATGGTCAAAATGCGGCAAAATGGGAGGTCAACCTGGCGGCTGCCATGGCCATTATGGCCATGGGACTTTATGGCGAAATTTTCAGAGTTTCAATGGATTTCACCAAAGCTTCAGAAGGTTTTCAGCATCGATTTGTGGTATCGTTGATGGTTAGTGATGGTTAAAGATGATTGGGGTTAGGCTACCCTTTATATATAGAGGATCGAAATAATCCATGAATTAGGAATCTCATGGAAACCAAACACTGTTTTGGGAAATTCCGGATGGGTATGAAAACGCTGCTCATCTGAGTCTAGGGAATATTGCACATGGTGCTGATGTGATAATTATGATGGTTAAACTATAGTTGTGGTCAGACATCAAACCGAATCTGAGTCGGGAGAACCAACTATGCTGGAGAACCAACTATGCTGGGTCCATGAAAAAAAACTGATCGAAGGATCTAAATCCTTGTAGCAAATATGCAATTTTTAAGTTTTCACTAGAGTTCACCCAGAACGTTTTCCAAACGCAGATCCCAAAAAATGGTATGATCTTTGGTATATCTGATTATATCAGAATTGCATTCTGGTCATCAAACATGGCTGGGAACTCCATAATTTTCCAATCTCCATCTCTAGGAGATTTTCCAGCTCTTGGCGCGCGGGAAAAAGCTTCACCGTGTCACCGGCATGGCAATGGAAACTAGGCCCGGCTAGGCCGAGGCAGACCCGAGCAAAATTGCAATAGCGCACTACCGTCCATTGCTCCGGTACCACGGCTACGGAGACGGTGCCAGGTGTACTCCGCAACGAAGAAAACTCCAAGATCTGAGCATCTGTGGATTTGTTCACAGTGTACAGAGCCCCTGAAGTGTACAGTGTACAGAGCTCAATGATGTCTGTACCAAAAAATGGTACCAGGGCCCACCAAAGGGTCATCAAATATTCAAGAAGTTTATATGTTGAGTGATCATGTTGACCTATCTCCCAAATTTTGTCGAACACAAATGATGAACAACAAACTGGATTCGATAACGCTACCATCTGGTTATTTAACATAGCCATGGAAAATCCAACCATTTTAAGAACGTAAATCTATTTCTATGGGCCATGGCTTCCATGGCTATGTTAGTCATAACTAGAGGGAAGTGTTTATGATATGTTATGATTATGGCAATATTTTGGTATATTATGATATTATGGTAATTAATATGATACGACTACTGATTCTGATATATTATTATGATAATCCACTAATCATTTAGTACACCACCACTATCTTCCATTCAGAAATGGTTTAATGCCAAATGGCCGACGGGCCGGCAACTGGAGCCCGGTTGAAGGCACCTATCTTCACAAAAGAACATTTTGACTACCCTCTGGTAAACTAACATAAGCATGGAAAATCACCATTTTTAATAGGTAAATCAACTATTTCTATGGGCCATTTTCAATAGCAAACTGTTTGTTTACCAGAGGGTATCTGATATGGTTTTAGCTGTATAAAAGTTATTGCTAGACCAATGGACATTCACGGAAATTCAAAAGTTAAAAGCTTGTAAGATGGTTGTTATTGGAAATGTCCAGGTCCCCAACCTTCAGTCCTCCGCACCTCGTCCTCGTTGCAAGCGGCCGCCTTCTCTGTTTTCACCGGCAGCAGCTCGGGTGTTTGAGCTTCAAAAGGGCAGCTACGTCGACTGCAGTTGGTAAAAGGGTTCAGTGACATGTCAATTGGTGCAACATGTCTGAATTAAATGTACAAATCTACCAAAGTATGAAAAACAGGGTATGCCGTTCTGCACTCCCCCTTGGATGCGTCGTTAGAGTGCATCCATTTCTTTCTTTACAGCTCAACCTGCCCTACCCATTGTACTCTGTACAGTACATGCATCCTCTCAGCTCCGTAGCATCTCGTGCTCTCGGGCATCTTCGATCAGTATGGACGGTCTGATCGCCCATTCGTAAAAGCAGCGGACTTCAGGGATTGGTCTTCCACGGGTGCGCATCGCAACCTCTCGGCACAAGGCACACCATGTGAACGGTCTCGCATAGCCAGTTCGTGGTCCTTGAAGCTGGGTGCATCCACGTGTATCGTGATACACTGTTCCACATGGCGTCCTCAACACCTGAAATCCAAGTTCTGCTCTGCTATGATCTTCTGGCACTCCTGGAAAGTCGCCCTGCCTCCCAAAATGGTCCCACAGGGCTGCCTCTTCATACGCAATGTCTTGAATCGCCGTCTCAATTCGGCCTGTCATACTGCTTGATGTGCTTCCACTTGAGGAGCTGGAAGCTGATGGGCCACTTTGTGGTGCGGCCTTTGGTTTTGGGCCCGCTTTTGATGGGGCCTTTGGTGTTTGGCCCGCTTTTGACGGGGCCTTTGGTCCCTCCTTTAGCGGGGGAGCTTTCGCAGGCGCAGCCGGGAGCTGGACTGGAGGATCAGCATGACCCTCCAACCCGCCCTCACCAGCCGAAGCTGGGAGCTGGACTGAGGCCCTCTGCCCCAACCCGCCCTCACCGGCGCGTCGCTGCTCAGCCACCGCGAGCTGGACTGGGGATCCCTCCTCCATCCCCAACCCGTCCTCAGCGGGGCTTGGCTGGTTTGACGACCCAGCAGCCGAGGGCAGATGCCGTGGTCTTTCCACGGGTCCGCACACCTCAGCACATGCTCGACCCTCTGCCACTGACGTTTCCTCACCCATGGGGAGACTTCGGCCACGGGTAAAAAACATTCTTTTCCAGTTTTCGCCCAATGCACCTACTCCTACCTTCCACAGGACTTGGACCATCAGCGTGATCAGAATGATCAGCACCGTGTAGATGACCATAAAATTGTGGAAGTCACCTGCTGGTTCATCGTCTTCTTCATCTCCTTGAGCCTTTGACACTGACAACAAGGCCGCCATCGTGATGAGCTTGACGGCCATGGTGGCGACCGATTTTGAGTGGTCTTGATCTCCTTTTCTTTTTTCTCATCCTTCTCCATTTCAACACCTTTTTCTTCGGGCTGAGCAACTCCCATGCCCATCATCTGCTTCAAAGTTTCCATCCTCGATGAGGTCAGAACTTTTGTGCCCAGGTCCGCCAACATCTTCTCACCAGGGACATGACCCACCTGCCAGTCACCACGCAGCACAGATTGGTGAGCAAACGCCCACCTCAGCCTGAGGTGTCTTGTCCTCCAGCTTCCGCCCTCAGCAACCAAAATGGCCAGTGCAGCTTGCGAATCGCACAATGCCACCTTTGAGATTTCACCAAACAGCTCTGCCAGCACGACGTAAACTGACTCGCCGGCAATCATCGCCTCAACGAGCTCCATCAACTCTGACTCGGCCGTGCTCAAGGTGATTGTGCCCTGCCTGCCGCTTCTCCAAAACATCAACCCATCGTTCACCATAACCACAAACAATCCATGGGACTCATCTGCTTCGGGTGCAAAGCTGGAGTCTGAGTAGACATACAGCGTGATCGGGTCATCGATCTTCTGCTTGTACTGTAGGCCCTCACCTGCAGTTCTCCTGAGATAGGACCTCATTTGTGCTGCTGTGTCCTTGATGCAGTTGGCGGCCTTCAAAACGTTGGCCCCCATCCTGGAAACTCCAAACATCAAATCTGGTCTGCTTCGGGTCACCAGCCAAAGCAACTCGCCGATGACCTTCTGGGAAAACTTGACTCCTTCTGGCGAAGGGGGAATCACATCTGGAGGCATCGAAGCTTGGTCACGAGTGATAGGGAGCTTTCGTGGTTTTCCCTCCTCCTCATAGCGCCCAAGCAAGTCTTTGATGTATGCCTCTTGTGAAAGGCACCATTGGACCTTCTCCTCCCCCTCGATTTGGTGGCAAGTCACCTCCAGGCCCAAAAACCTCACTGGTGTCTCGCCAACCCACTCCGGTTGTGTGGTCGCCCATGTCTCTTGAAACTTCTGAGCAACTGACTTCGCCACCTGCTTCTCGGCGACGATAAAAATGTCGTCGACATACGTCATCACAAGGCCAATGACTCGGCCGTTTGAGATCCATTCTTCTTCTGCCTCTTGGAAGCCTCCTCTGACCACAACCACCTTCCATAGGTTCTGCTCTGACTCCATCGGCTTCAGCTCCAGGCTTTCGCAGCGGCCATCAATGACCACCTTGATGTCAAAGGTCTTGATCGTTTTGTCTCGATGAAGACCCCAAAGCTTTGGTGAGCGCCTGAAGCCGTACACTGCCTTCAATGGCAGGTACAGTGTGTCCGGGTCCAGAAACTTCATCTCCTTCAAGATGTGGGGTGGCTGGACCAAAAGAAGGTCCTCATCCGGCTCCTGTTCCATCTGCGCGTTGGGGAAAGCAGTTCTGACATCCAGGATGCATCCGGCCCACTTCATGCGGGATGCAATCCATGCCAACAACCTCAAAGATGTGGCATCTGCACCACCTGAGTAGTTTTCCTCCCCCTCTTTCTTCTCCTCATAGTTTCCGCAAACAACCCACCGGGTTTTCTTTTTCCCTTCTTTGTGGTCTGGGGAAGGTTTCACAGTGAACACCAGTTTGGAAGGTATGATCTCCAACTTCTTACCCTCCTTTTCTGCCTTCTTCTTCAACGCTTTGACTTCATCCTTTGACAGCTCCTTCAAGGCTGCCTTCTCAATGGTCAGGGACTCCACCTCGCTTCTCACTGATGGGATCCACTCCGACCAGTTTCTGACCACCTCCTTTGGTGAGATGACCTTTGTTTGAAGGATCTCATCTCCATCCTCCTTCACTTCAGCCATTTTTCTCCGCCTTCCCAAAATTCTGACTTCCTCGGCGGCCAGATCTGGGTCGTCGTTGATGATGGACTGCATCTCATCCTCCACCACCTTCATCAATCTTTGAACTTCAGCCTTTTCCTTTTCTTCCAGCACCTCCTCAGGATCTGCAACTGAGGCATCCATTCTCCTCACTGCTGATCTGCCTCTGATTCGGCGTCGCTGTTCTTGTGCATCTCGCCCTTCTCTTTCCACCGCAATCCAAACCGTCTCATCCTCCGGCTCAGTGGTGGGCGCCAAAATGTAGCGCGTAAGGCGTGGGGCTTCGCCTTCTTTGATCACCCAATGACCATGGTTTTCCACTGAAGGGCATAGATACTGAACCTTCTCCCCTCTGGGGTCCAGGTCATCCCGCCTCCATGTCCGCTTTCGGACTCTTACTTCTTCCAAAAACCTTGGCCAACTTGGTCTTGTCTCCATCCGGACACATCGGTACACCTCATTGACGTACCTCAAAGCCCATGGCCACCATTTCGCATCTTCACTGGCCTGCCTCAACGTTCTGCGGATCTGGTTCTTGAAGTCCTTCACCGCCATTTCAGCTCTGCCGTTTGCGGCTGGATCATCACCTGGTGTTTTGGTGAGGTAGATCCCACGCTGTCGGGCCCATGTCTTGAACTCGCCAGCAAACTCATGACCTTGGTCTGAATGGATGCGGCCCACATGGAACCCTTCCGTCCGCAGCCGCAACACGAACTCCATCACCGTGTTCACCACATCTCTCGCCTTTTTGGAACCCATTGGCAAGGCCATTCTGAACCTTCTCAACTCTGTGACCTCATCCAAAGTTGGGGGTCCAAACGCCTCGCCTGGGAGCTGGACTGGAAGATCTGCATGACCTTCCAACCCGTCCTCACCAGGGGCGTCGCCAGGCTCTCCTTCAGCCGGCGCTTCACCAGGGAGCTGGGCTGGAAGCAACTCCTCAGCTTCCAATCCGTCCTCACCCGGTGGATTTGGATCCTCAGCTCCTTCTTCAATTTCAGGAGCTCCTTCAGAAGCTGCTTCTTCAGGGGGGTTCTGCATCTTGTCACTCCCCTTTGGCACCCTCCAGGTCAAAACTCCAACCAAAAAATACCTTGCCATGTGCCCACCCAAATCATAAGCAGGCTTCAGTGGACCAGCTGTGTCGATTGAAAGCACTCCAGCAATTGGGTCCTTGACCAGTCGATGAGGCGGGCATTGTTGTGAGCTCTCCTGGCATACTCGACAATCTCTCCTGTATGGAACATGCCTGAAAGCCAAATGCTCGCTCCAGGACATAGCTTTCCCTTTAAAAGTGGGGCCCTCAACCTGTCTGATCAAAGCTGAGGCGACCATTGACATCACTCCTGGGGCCCATCTCGAAAGCTGGGACGAGCAAGATACCCTTTCTCCTGCTCTGCATCTCCTTTGATGACCAGCTGCGTAGAGCTCCAAGTTCCCACCAAACGTCGTTGGCTTCGGGGTAAGACCACCAAGCTCACCCTGCTTGAAAGTTGATTCCTCAAAGCTGAACTCTCGTGCCAGCTCTGCCCATTCTTTTGTATCCCACCAACTCACCACCTCCGGCATGAACTCCTTGGGGGTTGCTGGCTGCTCCACAGAGACGGTCACTTCGGTCTCAACCTTTCTGGCCCTTCTCATGTACACTGCAACCATGTACAAAAACCAAAAACGCCACATCAAAACATCGTCTTCATGAAGCTTCTGTTTCTCCTCTTCTGTTGCATCATGAATACCAAACTCCTCACCTCCCCAGCGGCGAATCGGCCTCGGGGCACAAGGCTGCCCTGGAATGGGGATGTGCCTCAGCAAGCTTCTCGTCCTGCAGTTTGGCCCACCAACGATCGCATTGATCTTTCCCTCCAAAGCCACCCTCAACAGACCACGATAAACTGCGTGGTCCGACAGCATGTCATGTTGTTCTCCTCGTTGAACATCAACTTCCAACAAGGCATCGACAGAACCACCCAGCTGTTTGATGGCATGCCGCAAAGTGAACCCTGTTTCTGGCCCAGCATACAAATGAACTGCTAAGCCACTCCTCTTCCAGCGCTTTCTTGAGTGTCTGTTGCCTGGAAGATCAGACCAAGTTCCAGGCTCCACCACCAGCCGCTCCTTGATGTGCTCTGGGAGTGAAGACAGCACTGGATGTTGCGACACCAGCTTTCTCGGCCATGCCACTTCCGCATCAAAACTTCCAATCTCATTGGGAATGCCCATCTTGATGTCCTCCAGCTCCGCAATCAACGTCAAAGCCTCAGATCTGGCAACATGGGGGCAACTTCCCTTCATCATCACCTTGATTTCTCCTCTCAGAGGATGGTGGATCTGCATAGATCCTTGCTTCCAGGAAATGTCACAGTTCAGCTTCTGCGACAACAAGCCCATGGGGATGATAGGCTCGATGGCAGGTGAAGGTGATATCATAGCACCTCCAGGGGACATCTTCAACCTCACCGTCCTTCCATCTGCCAATGCCACCTCCACCACCGGGTACAAATCCACATTCTCGCCTTCATGTCTAGGACGAAGTGGATGTGTTGCACCTGAATCCACAAGTCCAACGTCGTTCCCAACATTGAGTCTCTTCATCTTGAACGTCTTCATCGACTTCAGCTGCTGATGAAGGCGCTCCATCACATCTTTTCGCTCTTCTTCAGACGTCGAAGAGGTTGTAGAAGCAATAGTGTTGGAAGAGCTCGACAGAGACTTCAACATCCGGTTGGCCTCCTCCAGCAAGTCCTTCACTGCCTCCCCTTGACTAGATTGGCTTCCAGTCTCTGACTCCTTCATTGGTGAAGTCACATTGCGCTCCTCCCCCTCGGCCTTGGCAACCCTCGGCTTGTTGGGGCTTGTTTCGGTAGAAGCGCCTTTTGACCTGGTGCAGCTTGGTGAAAGGTGGTCCACACTGCCGCAGTTGTAACACCTGCGACGATCATCTTTGACATCATGGCTAAACGTGCATTCCTTTCCCCTTTTGCAACCAGCATCCGTGAGAAAAAACCTGCATTTTGGCTTCGGCTTGTCCTCCTCTGTAGACCTCTCTTTAGTCTTTGGCTTGTTCTTGTCTGCGTCCAAGTATTTGATCTTCACCTCGCCCTTTGGCATCGCAGCAGTGGCCCTCTTTTCGGAAAGAGCAACTTGTTCGATCTCAGCCAAAAGGTGCGTGGCAAACTGGCTGACTGTGGTGTCGGTCGGCCTCGTATCCACACCAAGGGAATTTCGGGCCAGGCTGACCCTGAATTGTAGTTCTTTGTTGGACTCCAGGACTCGGCGTGTTAACTTGTTCAGACCTTTCAACAACAGTGCCGGGTCTGGGGTCACTGCACCGATCTCCTGGGACCGCAGCTTCCAACGTAGCCACCGACGTATTGCAGCAGGAGCCTCGCCCACCGTGGTGACCTCTGTTGGCTCCTCCAAACTTCTCAGCAATGTCTGCTTCTCCAAGACACCACCTGGGCAATACGTCAACAGCAGTTGCGTCAAAATCCCAAAAACGCTCAGCCGTCGAGCTGAAACCAACTCCTCCTTGACCACCTCCGGCACAGATTGAAGCAGCATCGATGCCGTTCTTCTTTCCAACCTGGACCATTTTTCCAAGGTGACCTCTGGGGGCGGTTGAACTTCATGTTGAACTCGATCTAGTGGGGGCATCATCATGTGCTTCTGGTACCACTGCTCTGCAGACTTCACCATCAGCGACCACCACACTTCTGAAGTTGCTGACAAATCAGCTATGATCGGCTCCACAGTCAGAAGCCAATCTCCCAACTGGAGGGGACCCTGGCTTGGTGACCAGGGGGTCAACACCGGCAGGTCAGGAGTGCCGGACCTCACAATCTCAACTCCTCGAACCATGCCAGTCTCATCCTTTGTCTCGTTGACCTTCTTGTGTAGGTCCTTCATAGTTTCCATCATAATCACCATGAACTCCAAAGATTTCTCAGTGAACTGCGCATTCCCTCCACCAGGTGCACCTCGGCTTCCTTCTTCTTGGGGACGCTGTGATGCTTCCACCTTTGGGGGTCTGGCAGCCTCCTTGGGGGTTTTGAACTCTGCAGCCTCAGGTAGGAATGGGGGTCTGGCAGCCTCCTTTGATGGGGGTCTGTCGGCCTCCTTTGATGGAGGTCTGTCAGCCTCCTTTGATGGGGGTCTGTCAGCCTCCTTTGATGGGGGTCTGTCAGCCTCCTTTAGCCGCTTCAACCAATCCACATCCATGTCGAAACCTGGGCTGGTCTGATCCGGCTGTTCCTCAGGAGTCGCAAACCTAGGTTCATCCTCAGTCTGCATCTTGCTAGCACTTTCAAACCTGGCTCTCAACTGACGGTTCTCTTCTACCAACAGTTGAATCTGCCTTCTAAATTCGTCTTTCTCCTCTCGGTCTCTCACTGCTTGCATTCTCAGAAACTCCATGTCTCTTTCATGTTGACTCACTGAAGCTCTGGCTGCATCTCCATCCAAAAATGAAGGACGTGAAAAACCAATTGGATTGAAAAACGACTGTTGGGGCCCATACATCCATGCGGCTTGTCCCTGCAGTGCAGCAAAGTTTCTCAGCTGCTCCTCGGTGAACAACGGGGGTGCCATGGATTGCCCTTGCACTTGGTTTGCATCATCTCCTGCTTGTTGTTCAGGGGGAGTTGCGATCTCCCTCATCAAAGGTCCACCATTGAAGTTGCCTTCACCCTTGTCGGCGGGCGTATTCTTCTCAAGGGAGTTCACCACCTCTTGACGTAGAGAAAGGGCAGGAGGATCAGGAGGAGGTTGTGTAGGCGGCAACAACGCTTTGGCACCTGAACCCTGATTGGAATTCCTTGCAGGGGTACCTCTTTGAGGTTCATCTCTCTTACCCTCTTTCGGTGGAGACGTTTCCCCTTCTACAACATCCTCAGGTTTTTCTTCAGGTCCGTTTTGTATAGGCATCTCACCCCTACTCTCAGCCTCTGTTTTCATTCTTTCATCAGCTAGTCTTATCTCCTTTTGACCCTGCTCCATCTCTTCTTTGGTGGCCCTTCTCCTATGGAACTCACTCATCTGCCCAGTGAACCGCTTGGGCTCATAACCTGGAAATGTCCAGGTCCCCAACCTTCAGTCCTCCGCACCTCGTCCTCGTTGCAAGCGGCCGCCTTCTCTGTTTTCACCGGCAGCAGCTCGGGTGTTTGAGCTTCAAAAGGGCAGCTACGTCGACTGCAGTTGGTAAAAGGGTTCAGTGACATGTCAATTGGTGCAACATGTCTGAATTAAATGTACAAATCTACCAAAGTATGAAAAACAGGGTATGCCGTTCTGCAGTTATAATCCCCACGTGGGGCTTACGGCCATCAACCCATCCCTATTAGGAGGATCATTCTAATGCAACTGATTAAGAAACCAGGTTGCCTAGGTAGTAAATTCATGTAAATTCCCAATCAATTCATGGTGTTATTTCATTTATAATTCATTTGTAATTCAATCAATCAACTCCCACTTATAAAAACTCCACTGCGATTTGCTGATTGGGGCTTTACATCCCCTCATATCCCTATCTTCGGTGCAGTATAAAGTACCATGTCTTATCATTCTTGGTTGGTAAAACAACATGTAAAATAGTAAGCTTACCAATTTAGTAGATGTTATTTATATATATATATATATGTACATATATATATATATATATATACGCATAAAATAAAATTTTGTGATCCTCCCACAAACCTTCAATCAAACCGCCTCCAAGGCTAACGCTGGGTAGTGAAAAATCTCCCGTGAGGCTGGCGCACTTGCCCAGCCAAGCTTTACCCATATGTGTATTGCGTATATATCATGTATATTTAATATATATATATATACATACATACTGCTTGTTGGTTTTAACCATCTTGAAAAATATGAGTTCGTCAATGGGAAGGATGACATCCGATATATTATAGAAAATAAAACATGTTTGAAACCACCAACCAGTATATATATATATACACACTACATTGCGTTACATTACATTGCATACATGGTATATAAAGTTTTATATATATGAATATATAGAGCAGATGGTTGAGCTCGCAATGAAAAAGCCAATGTAGTAGGAAAAAAGGGGGTGAGCATATGTATATATTCTAACTTATAAAGATCAATCGCCGCCATGTCAAGGCTTCCCACTTCCCGCCTCCAGCACCGTCTGCGCCATTGTCACTTTCGAACAACTACGAGTTGGAGGAGGCGATGATGACATGGAAGGCATCAGGCCTATAAAGCGGCTTCCTCAGCGAGCACCGCGAGCACGGCGGGGGGAAGGAAGGTGAGACTGGCAGGACGGGAGAGACGGGAGACGACCAACATCCCTTTTTTGAAGTGATAGTGCAATACGCTGGGATTTCATGATGAGTGATTTTTCATGATGATTCTTTTTTGTGATTTTTCAGCATCAAGAACTCTATTTTTGACATCATATACCCTCTGGTAAACTAACATAGCTATTGAAAATGGCCATAGAAATAGTGGATTTTCCCATTAAAAATGGTGATTTTCCATGGCTATGTTAGTCATAACCAGATGGTAACATGATGTAGCGAAGACACATTTCAGGCTTTCACCATCAAACAGAGTGATTCCACATGATTCCACCCTTGGGCCGAAGGGGACATGCTGGGACTGTAGGATTGTGGCTCAAGGGTCAGACAGGAAGTGTCTGTTGCCATGGAAAGGAATTGGAATGGGCTGGATTTTATCATGTTTTATCTAATTTTCAGATACATTTTTGGATGTGGAACATCACTGGAAAAGAAATTGGCATGATTCACCATCTAAAAAAGGAAGACAACCATGAAGCTGGGTGTGTTAAGCAGCAAATGGAAGTTCAAATATCACAATAGGTCAACATAGAGTTTTGACACGCTTTAATCAAGAAAACACATTGCATTTTTTTCAGAAGCAACCAGGGAGGTTGAGCATCAGAAGTTTCGGAAATTCACCATCAAGGTTATGGCGGTCATCAAAAATGGGTGCGGGTGGTAGCTCCCCAACTTGTGAACAATGTGTGAACTAGTTTCGATGGGAGAGCAGCCGCAAGTTTCCTGATGAGCCCAGTGATGATTTTTTTACTATACCCAAAACTATGGTTATCTACTGATCATATAACTGATACACTGCAGAAACTAGCTAAACTAGCCTCAGCTAAACCACCAACCGGAAGAGTTCGGCCATCAAAAATTCCCATCATTCCGGCCATGCGTCGGGATGGTCGTGAACACAAATGAAATTCAGCTAGAGGATTCCCCATTGCTATTGTATACCCATTGATTTAATCTATATACCCCCTTAGACTTCCGTTCTACCACCATTTTTGATGATTAAATCCAAAGTCTTGTCGGTTATATCACCATTTTTGGTTAAATCACCACTTGAGAGGGGGAACACGAAAGGTAGGTGATCAAGAAGGGGAAGCAAAACCTCTCTGTCTAAAAACTGGTTGCGTGTAAAAGTGTATTGTGTGCACAAGTTTCGGTGTGGAATTCGTCTTCCGTGTAAAGGCATATGTGTATAAAAGCGTCTGTATGTAAAAAACTGTTGTGCGTAAAATCTTCTGTGCGTAAGACTTCTGTGTGGAGAACTTTCTGTGTAAAAACCATCTGTCTCTAATAATTGCTGTGCATTAAAAAACATCTGTCCGTAAAGGCTTCTGTGCGGAAGAGTTTCTGCTGTGTAAAAACTGTTCGGGGTAAAGTTTCTGCGTGCAAAAAAAATGGGTGTGCATTTTTTTGTGCAGTCTCTCTGTACATCTCTGTACAATTTTTTCTGTGTCTATTTTTTCGGTGCCAAAAATATGTGTAACAATTGTTCTGTGCAAAGGCTTCTCTGTGGCAAAGGTTCTGTGTGTAAAGATGCCTACGTGCCTTTATTTATGTGCGCAAAAGCATCTTTGTATAAAGCATCGGTATGCAAACACTTCCTTCTTTGTGTAAAAACCTCTGTGAGTAGAGGTGTCTGTGTGCAAAACAAAAAATGTGCACAAACCTCTCTGTGTAAGAATACCTGCGCGTAAAAGCTGCCCTGTGTAAAGGCTTCTGTGCGTAACGTCGTCTGGTTGTAGATATGTATTGGTGCAAAATGCATCACCAAAAAGAATCCAAGTTCAAATGCCTGATGTCACGCAAAACTTCACGGTCTTCGAACTCGGAAACTTTTGAAACCACTGTACCCATTGGATCCATGGTGCTGGTATATATATATATATTTTTTTTGCCAAAACCTATAGCATGGACATTGCCACAGGTCGTAGGCACTAACCCGCTTCCTACCTACTATCAAGAACTTAGGGCCTCGCTCACTGCTTGGTGGTGTATTATTGAAATGAAATCTTTCCATGTAGCAAAAACTTCATACTGAGCAAAAGTTTCACACTGAGTGAAGGTGTCACACTGAGCAAAAGTTTCACACTGAGTGAAGGTGTCACACTGAGCAAAAGTTTCACACTGAGTAAAGGTGTCACACTGAGCAAAAGTTTCACACTGAGTAAAGGTGTCACACTGAGGACAATTTTTCATATTGAGTATTTTAAGTTGGGTTTCCTTTGTTGAATGGGGGTTGATATCGCTGTGCTTGTTCAATAATCCTCTCGCGCATCAATCGGTTGTTCTTGTCGAATGGTATTTGCGGTTGTGTAGCATCATGCGTCTTAATCACTTCCCATGCTTTACTCATATTGTTAGTTGTCCAGAATTGTCGTGGGCGGCCTCGTCTTCTGTGTTCGGTTTCCCGTGGGAGCGCGGATCTAGTGGAGAACGCAGCTTGGTGTAGTGGATGTTGCCTATCCCTTCTCAAGACATGCCCAAGAAGTTTCAGTCTTCTGTCTTCCAGAATTTCGGTTAGTGGTTTGATTTGTCTCCCAGGTCCTACTGATGGCGAGTTGATAGTTTCATTAGCTCTTCTATGCACATATTCATTGGAATTGTCGCGCTGCACGAACGTGGTGTGTAGTTTCAAAATTTTTCGCAAACCCTTTAGTTGGAACGTGTTTAATAGCCTTCCAGCTGCTTCCGTGGGCTCCAAAGTTTCCAAACCATAAAGTACTTTAGAAGTGATGACGGCGTCATATATGCTAACATAAAGGGGGTATATTGATGGTAAATGTTACCATATATAGCATACATGGATCCTATGGGGTAGGAAAATAGGCAACCCCAAAATCCCAATGGCTTGTATTTTTTTTTGTGACTACCATCTGGTTGTGACTAACATAGCCATGGAAAATCACCATTTTTAAGAACGGTAAACCATCTATTTCTATGGGCCATTTTCCATGGCTATGTTAAATAATCAGATGGTATATCATCTTAGGTTTCCATTCCTATCCCATTCCATTCTACTTGGTTGACAAGGGTGTCTCAATCCCATGGATTATCATAATATATCATAATACCATTCTGCATTATCATAATAGATCAGAATCAGTAGTAATATAATATTACCATAATATCATAATAATTATACCATAATATTACCATAATCATAACACATCATAATACCCTCTGGTTATTCAACATAGCCATGGAAGCCATGGCCCTAATCGAAATAGATGGTTTACCTATTACAAATGGTGATTTTCCATGGCTATGTTAGTCATAACCAGAGGGTATATCATTATTAACCATCATTAACCATCATTAACCATATATGAACCATATATGAGCCATATATTAACCATCATTAACCATGGTATAAGTCCCAACTAATGAACCACGCCATGGCACCGGTGGTATTCCTACGACTCGACCGTCTGCGCGTCCTCGGGACCGGGACGAAGCCATGGTGAGATAAATAAAACGACCGTTTGGAGCCACAAAAAACGGGAGATTGACGCAGATTTTTATAGATTTTTATAGTCTTTAACCATATGAATAGATTATAGATTTTATAGAGTTCATAGAGTTTATAGATTTTATAGATTTTATAGATTTTATAGCCATATCTATTAAGTGGAATCAAACATATTTCAGCATTGCTTTGTTGGGTGTCAGCTTTTTCCAAAGTCTTTGATGATATGTCGACATTTCACCAACAAGGGAGATTGATGAAGAACCTGGGTAGCCGAACATGGGCCCGGCACTTACCTTTTGCTTGTGACCAGCGTAGCAAACAGGAAAATCACAAGTTTTGTAGGTAAATCATGGTAAATCATCATTTCTATCATCTATAAATGGGCAATTGTCCATAGTTATCTTAAATAATCAAGTAAATGCGCTGGCAACTAGCCACTAGTCATGACGGATCTATCCAACTGACATGTCCATAGGGAGGGGAAGAAATCATTAATTATAGTTATACTCAGTAATCATCACCAATAGTTGGGTTAGTGTCCTATTGCTGAGAATCTCACTAAGTAGCTAATCAGTACTTAATTATGTATAGTTATACCATGCTATAGCATTCTGGTGATTAAACTGATTAAACTATTACTGATAACCCATTAGAATAGTCCATCATACCCTCTGGTAATTTAACATAGCTATGGAAAATCACCCTTTTTAATGGGAAAATCCACTATTTCTATGGCCATTTTCAATAGCTATGTTAGTTTACCAGAGGGTACTTATATTATTGATCCCATGAAGCACTTAAAACGTAGCTGAAGCACATGGAGCTCTGGCATTTTAACCTGCCTGGACTAGCGCAGATGATACTCCATATGGCTGCGGCACCCTTTGCTGGTATGTTTGTTGGTTTATAGACCCCATCAAGCATATACTTAGTTTTTAACTTCATATGTATACACAGACATGACATGACATGGTGACATGACATGACATGGTGACATGACGAGACATGACATGACAGTTTTTACCATAAGTGTGAAGGTGTGATATAAATTGTCTTGTTGGCTTTCAATTCTCTGTTCATATCTAACATAAACCTTAGCTCTGCTAGTTGAAGCCTCAATGTTAGGACATTGTTAGACCAAATCAGATCTGTATCTCCTCTCAAAATCTCTTTTTTCGCTAATGACCCAATGTTTATTACTGAATTCCTACAGTATCCTGACGCATTGTCTCGGTGAACCCCTTGGCTGTCGTGGCTTAGTCTGCTGCTGGTGCAATTTCACCATCAAAAATGATGGACTTTGGAAGGAAGGATATGGAAGGATGACATCCCATATATGAAATCACAAATCATCCAAATGTTTGAAACCACCAAGCAGTGAAGGACGTAGGCATCAGGAGAAACCTTCTGGGATCATCGATTGAATTTGCTGCTCGCTGGTTGATTTTTCTGCTGATGGGATGTCCGACGAGCGCGAGCGCTTGGTTCCTTGTTGCTACATGTGGATGAAATGCTGAAATGCCGAAATGCAGTTCTACTTGTCCTGCTTCCACTTTATGATGTCTGTCTATGGTTGTTTCTTTAGCTCGCAACATCCCCATGTTTCTTGTTGAGTTCTATCCTGATTTAGCCATCGGCCTTGACATTCTCGTGGATGCTTCACACCCAATGTTCGACGCCTCTGTGTGATAGGAGGTTTGTGACAACCCATCTGTGTGGAACACCTGTGATTAAGAAAACAGAATACTCTGATGGTCATTGAGAATATAGATGTCTTGTTTTCTGTTATTAAAAAACAGAATTAAATCACCTGTAAATTCTCTGATGGTCATTCCCTCATGGTGTTTTCTTGTTTTGCACCCGTCCCCCGCCGTGGTGCCATGTTGGATGACACCTAGCTATGCCGTTTTTTACTCATCAACCCCCACTCAAGTCACGGCCAATCGCAAAAACGCAATAAAAAAAAAACTGGTCAGTCAATATCCCCATGAATATCAGAATATAGAATATTATATAACTTAAGTGCTAAACAAAAACGCTATCCAGTGGTTTTTGTCCAGATACACCCTGTTGTTTTTCGTTGAAATTCTCCTAGCGCTTACCAATCCTCAGTGAAAAAAAACACCAGTTTTTTTTGGGGTTAAATCAGCGCATGTTTTTCATCCCAAGTTGTCGAAGGGTGAAGCCACCAGTATTTGGGGGTCATATTTTCAGTTGTTGGTTACCTCACCATCCATTTTTGCTCCCAACATGGATGTGGGTCAAAATGGAAGACCTAGGGGACCACAGATGTTAGTCTAGTTTAGTATTAACCATCCAATTATTGGGGTACCTAATTTTGACCCATACCCACATCAACAATTATGGAGCATTGGTTTAAGAGAACATCTACGGGAAGGTATTAGGGACCCCCCCGGATTTCAATTGACATGAGATCATGATGATTGATCCATGGATTTATATATAGCTACCTTCTATATAAAGACAAACGAAAGCATGTGGTATGTTTCGATGTTCGCAGCTCTAGGCAATCTCTTCCAGAATTGCTGATTTCGCCACCAATCACATCCAATCACTAATAGATTTCAACCTTGGATCTACTATTTCGATTCCCCTTAAATGGATTTACCCTCTGGTTATTTAACATAGCCATGGAAGCCATGGCCCTAATCGAAATAGATGGTTTACCTATTATTTTAATGGTGATTTTCCATGGCGAACTGTTAGTCATAACCAGAGGGTAAATGCTGGATTCTCCATTGGGGCTTATCAGCGACCAAACTTCAACTCAACCAACCTCTGGAAAGCCAGGTTTCATCTGCGGAGTTTCCGAGGACCAATAGAAGTAGATGCTGACACCGCTGGCCATGAAGTACCTGAGCTTTTTTCGACCCAATGGTGAAACAAGCAGAAGCAGCAACAAGAATAGTTCATGGTGATTTAATAACGGTTAGTAGTGATTCTTAATGATTTTATAGTGGTTGAGAGCGGTTAATATTCATTTGATCGTGATTTAAGCATAGTTCATAGTGGTTAAGAGCGGTTGGTACTGATTGAAAAGTGGCTAGTGATTCAATAATGGTTAACAATTAAATAATCATTAGTGGTGAATATCTGAGTTCAGTGTTAGTTCTGAAACAGAAATATGTATCATAGTTTCAGCCATTGGGTCCCGCAAAGCCACAATTCACCAACCATTGTATAATATGTCAACCCCGGATCAAAAAAGCCCTGTTTTTTTTTCGGAATTAGGGGGGTTCTCCCAGTGTTTTTCATTGCTCCTAACATGGGTCACCCACCGAATTAAACAGCCGTTTGGGGGTTATTAGTCCGGGGTTGACATTATCATTATTACTATTATTCCATTAGTTATTTCAGTGCTACCCCTTCGAAAAATCCCATTCTGATGCCGTGTTTGTCCCATCATCAACTCATGTTCAACGAAACTATGAAATCTGAAATATGGAATATATATATATATAAAACTTACTGATGTCCCAGTAATATCAACTTAGTATCAATTTATATTATCCCCTTAAACTGGTTGGTGGTATACTTACCCCTCTGAAAAATATGAGTTCGTCAGTTGGGAGTGTGACATTCCCAACTGAATGGAAAGTCATAAAATTCCATGGTTCCAAACCACCAACCAGTATATATATGTATATACACACATATATCTACACATTACCATTACATCTATTACCATCCCCTCAATTAACACCCTGCAAGCGCTTATTGGCCAACTAGGTCCACAACCAGGTCCCATCAGAAACCCGTTCTCACAGTTCTCATCATGTTGGTTGCTGCGAAAAATGGACTCTTTCACCCATTTAGGGGTACCCAGTGGGAATAACCAATGGACTATTTCACCCAATTTATGATCAGATGATCATCTGGAGGTGTACTAAAATGGGTTGTACCGCCAAATCATCTAAAATTGGACCACTTTAGATACTTAGCATCAACAAAAATCATGGTGACTTGGTCCCCGATTTTAAGACACCCCCATTCATATGTGAATTGGATTCCACCATTTTGCTTGTTGATATTTACAAGAATCTCGATCTTTGTAGTTAGTTTGGATTGGATACAGAGAGGTTAAACCTCGTCAAACGTCTTGAGAAATCGCCGACCCTCATCTCGGGCCGAAACTTCAATCTATAGCCCCTTTTCGGGAATGAAACAATCAGGGACTAGAACCAATCCACACATCATGTTAAATCATGTTACTGCAACTATTCCTTAATCATCTTTCTGTTGGGGGAAGGACATCAGTTATAACACCTATTTTCCAGTTGTAATGAAAAAAAACTCATGTTTCTCTTGAGGGAAGTATGTCAATTATAACAATCATCCTCCAGTTTTTCTGTTTATCAACTATGTGCCAGTTGTTGTAAAAGGAAACAGTTTTCAACAGTTTATGTCAATGAGTATCCAAAATCTCCAACAGTTATCAGTGATCCATCTGGGTTTCCATAAATGGGGGTACCCCAATAGCTGGATGGTTTAAAATTAATGGAAATTCCATCTATAAATGGATGATGACTGTGGTTTTCCCCTATAACTTAGGGGGTCACCCATATCTTCTTTCCCACCAATGATCTTCCCATTGTTTTTTAGAGTTTTCCTATAGAGTTTCCCATGGTTTTCCCAACATTTCCCACATTTTTCCAGGGTTTAAAAACCACTGAAATCTCCACCATGCCATGGATTTCCAGGTCCCGCTGGGGCCCATGGCATCCCTTCGGTCTTCCGGGTCATGTCAAAGACGGTGTCGCCCGCCTCGGTGGATTGATTGATTTTTTTAGATGATCAATGAAGATGATCATGTAAAAATTAGATAATAGATAATAGATTATATATATATGGTATAATAATCTATTATCTAATCTAAGATATTATTAGATATTATATCTGATATATGATTAATATTATCCAATAGATTATTATATATTAATTGGATATATATTGGATAATATAAGATAATCATAATTACGATAATAGATTCTAGACATATATTGGATAAGATGATCATGTTAATTGCTGGTTGGTGGTTGAGCCCTATCTCTCTGAACAATATGAGTTTGTCAGTTGGGATGATGAAATTCCATGAAATTCCCAATATATGGAAAAATGTTCCAAACCACCAACCAGTTAATTAGATGATAATGGATTCTAGAAAAAATATATATATATATATATTGGATAATATAAGATGATGATAATTATGATAATAGATTCTAGAAATATATATATATATATTGGATAAGATGATCTGCACATTTTCTTGGTTAGCATGTATTAACTAACCATCCAATATTTTTGGGGTACTGTATCTAATTTTGACCCGCACTCATCTATTATATAATAGGGGGGATTTCAAGTGTTGCCATCTTGTAGAACTGCAGGGCACCGAGATTGCAGCAAAGATGCCAAGAGATAAAACTCGGTCACAGCCTGCGTAATTTGTGGAAGTGTTCTTTTTTTTCCGGAAACCATAAGCGGTTGCGGTCCAGAAATTTTGAGAAAACACCCAAATCAAACTTAAACCAGTGCAAGATGTTATGTACTAATCATATCTAATCATCATGCAGGTGTCCCATTCGGTCGCGAAATGATTGTTGCCAATACACTGGAATATGGCTGGCTAATCCCATCTGGTCGCTTCACGACTTGAGCAGTGTTCAAAACCTGTTGTCTATCATTGCATTTAATACGGGTTTGCCAGTTCATGGATGAAAATCATCCCCAATATTTTGGAGATTTTTTTGAGGTATTATAAGCCTGGAACAAATCATCAACCAACCGGGGAAGAATGCAGCCAACACTGACGAGTCTGATCTCTTACCAGTGACCAGTGACTCGACACAACGTCATGTCCTGTTCAAAAAAAATAATCGAAAAGGGTCTTCTAAGTCACCCATGTTACCTAACATAATCTTACCCTCTGGTAATTTAACGTAGCTATTGGAAATGGCCATTTATAGTGAGTTTTCCCATTAAAAATGGGTGGATTTTCCATAGCTATGTTAGTTTACCAGAGGGTAATTGACTCCAAGACATCGAGAAACAACATCTCAGATGCCAAATTCCAAATATGCTCTTTCAAGTCCATTGAATTTGCCAGTGAAATCCAGATTTTTTTGGTTCAATCGGTGTGAAAAAAAAACACAAAAACACATCCAGGGTTTTGTTCACGGCCAAAAATATCTAAAAATCCATAAGTCCGCTTTTTCATCAACATGCGTCAAGCTACAGTGGTTGCGAAATCCAAATCACCAGTTGATGGTAAACATCCCATAAGCTTTACCCTCTGGTAATTTCTTACATAGCTATTGAACATGGCACAGTTATAGTTGCTTTACCGATGAAAGATGGTTATTTTCCATAGCTATGTAAACGTTTACCAGAGGGTAACCATCATATATCCCATTAAATCCCATTAAAATACCATAAAATCCCATTAAATCCCATTAAAATACCATAAAATCCCATTAAATCCCATTAAAATACCATAAAATCCCATTAAATCCCATAAACTACCATAAACATCATATATTTGGTATGTCCAAAAGCCAGAGGTTCAGTTCCAACATCTTTCTTCCTCCGAAAAAATTGCGTGCGATCGGATCCTGACTGCAGAGGTTCAGTTCCATGGAGGGGTCCGTCGACGCCGACTCTTTAAAGAAGGCATGACCTGAGGTTTTTGCGTCGCTGGGGGATGTTTTTTTCTTTTTTTTTGTGAGCGATTTTTTGAAGATAACTTATTTAAGTGAAGATCAAGTGACAAAAAAGTGAACTGGGGAGCTATTTTTTGTTTGTATGGTTCTTGTGATCTTATCTGTTTAGATAAACATCATACAATCGATGTATCAGATCTATCGTTAAAGTAAAACTACATAACTGATATGATATAAAGCCTATAATTGAGATCTAAGGTAAAGCTGCGTTGTGACCCGAAAGATAGATCTAAAGTGAATGTAAGAAGTGACATAACGAGTATCCAATAATTAAACATATCAGTAGAATAACTTGGGATTGAGTGAATAATGTAACATGACCTGATCGGAAGACCCGAAGGATGAGAGCTTTCAACGCGGTTCGCAAACGATGAAACGATGGCAGACTTGGCGAAGATTTCGTGAAGATTTGGTGAAGCAGTAACTGCGGAGATGGGTGATCCTTTTAGTGAAGATAAACACATTAAAACCTTATGAAATTTGGTGAAGCTAGGGGTTTGGTGAATGATGTCAACCCCAAACCCCAAGTGGTAACTTGGATGACTTGGATGACTTGGATGACTTGATGTTTTTGATTATTTGGGAATATAACACATAACTTTGGAAAAAGTTCCCAACTTTGGTCACCTTTGGTAATAGGGACTGTTATTTGGGAATATTCCCAACGAGAAAGTCTGGGCAGTTCCTCACCGATTCGCTTGGAAACACGGAAAACAACCACAATTGATACAATCTTTATCCAATCCGCTTGGGGATGTTTTTTTCCATTACCCATATGCGAACCATGGTGCTGGAATATTTTTGGAAATATACGGGAAAGCTATACAGAATGTTAGTCGGGGTGTAATACTAATGCTAGTTGCTGTTTTTTTTTTGAGTTACTGTAAAAAGAATTCAGTTGTGGTTTGAACACCCTCTCTTTACCAACATTTTGCCCTCAAATAACACAAATATAGGTAATATACCATACATGGAGCATATGGGATATAATCAATGGGAATTTCAGGATCCTAAAATGGAGGTACTGTACCATATAAGACCATATCTTGTGGGGTTATTCCCTTACATAGGCCATATATAGGCCTTATATATGGTAGGTACCTCCAATTCAGGTGCCTGAAATGGCCATTGATATGGGATATAATTAGTATATATATATATAATTAGTACACCTTAGTACCATGACCCAGTCCCGAACCGCCCGAATAAAAAGGCTGCCCGGTGGCTATGTAACGTCGGAGCACGGGCTTCCTGGAGAAGAATAGCAAAATATGTCATGGGAAAATAATCTACAAATGGGAATGGGATTTAGCTAATTATCTACAATGGATCTACAAAATATAATATAAATGAATTAGCTAAATTATATTTTGTGGATATTATATTATCTCTAATTTTGATACTCTAATTCCAACAAAATAACCATCTACTTAAATATTATATAAGTAAATTTTCCAGATCCAGAGATATGCAATGATATTGATTTTTAGATATATTATGATATATTGATTTCCATTGATGTACCAATATAGACATTTGATAGGAACCCAAAAAAAGGATGGACATTGGTAAAAATTCAATCTAAAGCAATGAAGAATTACTTAAATCGGCTTCTTTTTGACCTTTTTTGGGGGTTACTATAAGGGAAAATCTATACAATCTATACACGAAAGTAGGATCTTGACGCCCAGAAGATCAGCCTTTCCAGAGTTTTCCCGTAAATCATGATTTCTTTAGCACGCCCTGTTGATGAAAACATATGGCATGATTTTAGGGTCCAAGAAACCCTGCTTGATAGTCATAATGGGCGACTGAAACCATTCTTCAGCCAATGAACATCACTATTGCGAAATCTATGGCCCACCATTCCCTTTTCCATGATTTTCCAATTTTCCACGATTCATGGTGAATCTTAGATACCTACCAAAAAGTCTCATTTCTAGCTGGTTAGGACGATTTTTTTCATTGATAGCAAACCAGATTTCCGTCATTTCGGTCTCCTGGAAGAGTTCTCGCACCATGCCTCTTCAGCCAGGCGGCGTCAAAAAAGTAGAGAAAAAATGGGGAAACCACTGTGGAATTCGTGAACAAAATCATTCCCAATCGTAGGTAAAATGGCAGGTGAATCCAACATTTCTGACATGTGATCCTGGAACATCCTGGAATGGATCATAGATCTAGTTCTAGTTGACTAACAGGAAATTCGACCCAACGCATCTTGGAGCATAGCAGTTGTCTCTATAAATGGAGGTTTTAGTGGGAACATCGTCTATATAAATGGCCAATTAATGTTTCATTGCCATGTTTGATTACCAAAGGATAGATATTTTCTGTGAAAAAAACAGTTCGTGGCTGGAGATTGAACATCTATAAACATTCATAGTATATAATCCCATTCCCTTCATATTAACACCTAGAACCATGCTTTAATACGCCAAGTCATACCCAGGCATTTTTTGGGTACCCTGCGATGTATGCCATAAAAACAAATCTGGAAAAATCTTTGAAGTAAGTACACTCTGGTAATTTAACATAGCTATTTCCATAGCTATGTCAGTTTACCAGAGGGTACATGTTGATCGAAATCGTCATCCTATGCTATCCTATGGTAACTAAATGGCACATGATTACCCTCTGGTAATCAAACATAGCAATGGAGAATCTCGTGTAAAGGCAGGTTTACATGAGAAACAACATCTATCCCATATGCTCCATGGTGCTGGAATATTTACCAACATTTGCCCTAAAAATCACCCAGTCATGTAGGAACATAAACCAGCACCACGGAGCATATGGGATTCGATGAAATTCTTCACGAGTGGAATGGGACGGTCGTTTGCTGAATTCACCAAACTTGGATATCTTGCGAGAAATGACATCTTGAGCTGGCAACAAGTCATGATAGTGTAGTATAGTGTAGAAAAAAACGTCCCCAAATGCTTTACCTACTTTATATTTAGTGTAGTATATTATATATACCCTATGGATCCAAACACTGTCTGAGAAGGTACAAAAAAGCCTCCAAATTATAGTAAATTATACCCCAGTCCCACTTCCTAAGAAGGTACGACTGGATCCATAGGGGTATATACCCCATTAAAATAACAAGAACTGATATTTTTCCTCTGGTAATTTGTTACATAGCGAACTGGAAAATCCACCCATTTTTCATGGGAAAACTCACTATTTCGACTGGGCCATAGTCCGTTGAGTCGGAATCGCCTTCGGGCAGGGTCTGCAGAAGCGGCATGTGGTTGCACAGTTCCTTGGTCCGAGACATGCCCAGCAAACGAACGTAGATGTGGAAGGGACCCAGTACCCGGCCTGGTAAACGTTTACAAAAAACTATGAAAAATCCACCCATGTTTAATGGGAAAACTCACTATTTCTATGGTCATTTTCAATAGCTATGTAACAAATTACCAGAGGGTATTTCTAAAAGAAATGATCATATCATAACAACTCTTACAGTTGGGTTCCCGAGTTTGAGAAAAATCTGTTGAAAGCTGAAGGGAAAACATATGTTTTATCCCAAGTGACTTCCCCATTTCTGTATAGTGGAATATCCAAGTAGGATAAGTGTAGTTCATAATATAGATAAGGGTAATCACCAATCAGTGGTTCTTAGAAAGAACACATACTCCCAATATTTTTTCTATACGATAGTGCTTTTTGAAATTGAAAATATATCCTAAAAATACCATGACATAATGACATATAACTTTGATGTTGAATATCCTGATGAACCAATGAATTTTCGGTACTGTACCTCCACACATTTTTTGACAGAGCCATTTGGTGGTGTAGAGTACCCCCAAGAAAGATCGACACGTGTTTCTAGGATGTCATAGATGATGTTTCCCCATAATTGGCAGGTGTCCAACTGATTGAAATCTATTCTTGAGTGTTGCCGAGAGCCGGAAAGAATAACATCTCCCAAATTTGAGGGTTAGAAGACTAGAGATTCCTCTAAAACTAGTGATACTCAGTTTTTTTTTTAAGTGTGGGGTGGATGGTAAATACAATCATCCAAAATTCTATCGATTAGGCCCCCATGAATCATCATGAATCCCCACTGATCCTCATCCACCATCTGCAGGCGACTTTCGCAGCTAGCCATGTTTGGTTACCGGAGGGTATATAGAATTTCCCCATTATGATGTATGGTGTATATATGTATACAAATATATATATATATATATAGATAAATATATATATATATATTGCATATATATATACATATTATATATATACATTATATATATATATACACACCATTATATATATACCATTATATATATATATACCATTATTCTCCCATTGTTTTTGCATTGGGAATTCCCATCACTCTCTGGTCATTCAACAGTTTGCTATGCAAAATCACCTCTGAAAGTCGGTAAATCGAACTATGGCCATTTCCCTAGATACGTTAAAGAAACAGAGACCAAATCCCATGAAAATCCCATGACATCCCTATTTTTGAAGATTAAATTCATACTATCTATGAATATAGAATAGAAAACTACTCATAGACTATATGGCAGTGTGTCAAAACCTTGTACCCCTGGTGAACATCAAAATAGCTGGTAAATGGATGTTCATCCCCCTAAAAATGGTATTAATAGGTATTGATCCATACCCATATATGTATACATACACACATACTATAAACTATAGATATAGAAAACTACTAACAAACAACACCCCAGGCCAAAGCCCAAGCCAGGCATCGTTGCGGCGATGTTCTCGCTCCACGTAGCGTTTCATCTGCATGGTGTAGGAGTAGCTGATGCAGTGCGTGGCACAGTACCTGAAGCGTGGCTCCGCAAGGCGCGACGCCAGCGATGGCTGGAAGAAACCATGGGATACCGATCCAGATGTTAACCAATCTGTAAGATGTAAAAAACTTAATTTATGCATCTAAGATGATTTAAAATTGAATAATGAACACGTAGTTATTACTTTTAGTACTTGTGTTTATCCATTAGATGAATGGTTACGGATCCACAAGAAATATATATATATTCAAAAAAACACAGGCAGCCATAGGTAACCATAGGTGAGCATCCATCAAGTTGATTGCCACAAGAACAACCATAGTACTTATGTAAAATGCCAATTAAAAAATATATTGGAGATATCGTAAAAACCTGATTAGATGGATGGATAATAAGAAAACACACTTATTTACTTATAGATGGATAATAAGAAAAACAAAGAGCTGATATAGATGGTTAAAATAGCTGATAATATGTATAAATGCACATAAATGGTTTAAATATAAATTATATGATATAACCTTGCAATGGGAAAATCACTACCATCCAAAAATAGAGTTGTAAAATGTGAAATGTGTGTATATATATATATGCATATACATAAGAGTGTATTATAAATATAGGAACAGCTACATTATAACTTATTATAACTATATACAAGATCTTGCCTTTAAACGCGTTGGCTAAGTTGGTTGATAAAAGTATATAGGTGAACAATGGGATTTATGGTAGAAGATAGACTAGTTGCAATATTTAAAAAAAACAGAGAGATGAACCAATCATCATTGCCGGATCCTAATTTAGTCAAATTGAAAAATAAATCCAGTCAAAACCACTCTAAACCATTCTGAACATGTCTAAACCGGCAAGCAGTGAAGGGTATTGCCTTAGGTATTTCCAGACACAGAGGGAATTCAATACCAAACGACCAAGTTCACCTTGCCCTGCTGTTTATTAACCATTTGGACAGCGGAAACCGCCGAAAAGCATCGTTGCTTTGTGGGGATTCCTATACAGTACTGGCTTATGACAATCCCCAATGTTCATAAACCATCGACCAGAATTTCTCCATGATATCACTCTTGTTTCATGGTAAAAAACAACTACCCTCCGGTAATCAAATGTGGCAATAGATAATTTACTGTACTATTTACAGATGATTTTCCCACAATAAAACAATGATAGGAGATTTCAGTTTGCCACGTTTGATGACACCGCATGGTGTTGATGCCTTGCATCCCGGGAATCCAAAAAATATTAAAAGAGCAAAAAAAACGACTTGCTCGCCATTCATAAGTCAGACATAGTCAGCGCATAACCTGCGAAACCTGTGGGCGATTTGGCCATACCAGTGGCATTTTTCCAACTCTTTGCCGAAACACCCAAGTAGCTGGGCTGCTGAGCTTCACTAAAGATGATAGCGGTTTCTGGTTCCAACACCATAGAACAAAATATCATAAATATATATATATATATATATATGGGTTTTGATCAAAATTCCTTTATCCGGGAACGGCCATTCTTCGCGAATAAAATTGTTACTTTCGCGAAACTTTCGCGAACTCCGTGTTTATCTTTCGCGGGGCCCATGTTGGCCAACAACACCTCTTATGAAGATTCGTTCACCACCTGCCAAATGACGCCAGAGAATCACGGATCACTTCTTGATAGCCTTTTAGACATGCAGCTAGCATCACGGAATCCCTTCTCAGGGCAGATTGTTGCTAACTAGGTTTTTTGGGTAAGGTTTACTGGCCCACCCCCTTCATATATTATATGTAATATACTGTATATATGTGTGATAATTCCCATGATCCTCCCCTAAAATGCTGGGTCTTTTCCACCCAACATGGCTATGGCTTCGTTTGCCACGCGACTTTCGCACGGACTGCAGGATTTTGGTGGTGCGCATGCGTTCGCGCGCCACATTGGCCATGGTGTTGGTCACGAAACTCACGAAGATCGAGCTGCAAATCCTGGACCGAACTAACGTTGCTTGGAACAACGGGGAGCCCCGTTAAAAACAACGAAAAAATTGGAGTTTCACCATCCAAAATATGTGAAAAGTGCTGGTTGAACTATAGAAACTTGTGGTTTAACCTGATTTAACCATGAAAATGATGGCTTTAAAATCAAACATGGTGGTTTAACTTGGAAAAAATGGTTTTTACCGGAAAAAAAGTTGTGGTTTCGCAATCAAAAAAATATGGTATTACCATCAAACATGATGGTCTAAACAAGGCCCCGACTACATGAGAAGATCACATGACACAATGTATATATGAAGATGTGACTTTCATGGCTTTGTGTGTGAAGATGCGACGTGCCTGAAATGGCTTTGGAAGATGGCTTCGAAGATGCTTGTTGCACTTGTCGAAACTCAAAACCCCAAACTTTCAGTAATCTTTTGCATGGCTTAGATATGTCGATATGTCCTTGAGTTGTTGTATTAGAAGTTTCTTGGTCTTTTCCAGGATTTTCCCAGAAACTTCTCCACCTTTGCCCCCCTGCCCTGGGCCCCCCTTTTTGTGGCCCGAGCATCAGCGCGGCACAGGTCCCAGCAATGCCCAGCCAACGCTCCGCGGCGGTGGTGAGCTCCACGTTGAAGCGAAGAGCCGAGGGCGGCAGACGAGACAAGGCCCATTCGAGGCTCCTGGCGCGCCAGGAAAGGCAGGCCTGGGATAGTCTAGAAATAAGTTTGGGATGTTTACCCTCTGGTTATTTAACATAGCTATTGAAAATGGCCATAGAAATAGTGGATTTTCACATTAAAAATGGGTGGATCTTTCCATAGCTATGTTAAATTACCAGAGGGTATTCTGTAATGAAAGATATAGAAGGGACCCAGTATTTCTAAAAGAGATGACCATATCATAACTGGTTGGTGGTTGGTATTTATGTGGTATTTTTCAGGTTGGTGGTAGAATCCTAAGCGTAGAATCCTACATCAAAACGATGTTAATCCTACATCAAAGAGCCAACAAGTCTGTATAAACATAATCATAATCAACTGGTTGGTGGTTTCAACCCCTCTGAAAAGTATTAGTCAGTTGGGATGATTATTCCCAATATATGGAAAAATAAAATTCATGTTCCAAACCACCAACCAGTATTTATTTTGTAATGAAAGGTACTAAGAATAATTAGCTGAGAAGTATCTGTAGAAAAACTGAAGATGTTTCTTAACTATAGATACTTTGAACATATTCCAAGTATAATGGTACCATTAGTAGTGATTAATATGTCTGTAAATATATATATATATATTTATACAGTAACTACATTTAAATATATGGATTTTAAAATCTACGAACTTGTATTTTAGACTTCCTCCGGGAAGGTTTTCCTTGGCCCGCCCGGCCATTTAAACATAAGGAATCCATTTTGTTTACACATACATTTATATAAATTAATATACGGATGGAATTGGTGTTTCATACTACCTCCAGCACGTCGCCATCTCGCCCGCCCTTCACATATCTAAACGTCTTTATATAGAGAGTAAATGGGGTTAATAGTATAACCAGGCTTCATCTTCACTTGATTAGACCTGTCAGATAGGTGATCCACCCCAAAAACATTGGTAAATCACACTGGCTAGCTATTTCAGGGGCAGCTATAATAAGGTTAGGGAAAGTTTCTGGGTTTTACTATACCAATGAAATTTTGAGGAAGTACGGTTGGATGGGGTAATACACAAATAATCAAACGTTTGGGGTGTCCGCCTTGTAGAAAGACTTCCCAGTAACCAACCATGGAAGGAGTACGTCAGCAGTGGGGAGACGTACTCCAATTCGGTGGTCATGGCAGCAGCTAAGGCATGATTGATAAGATAGTATACCCTCCGGTAAACTAACATAGCTATCGAAAATGGCCCATAGAAATAGTTGATTTACCTATTAAAGATGGCTGGATTTTCCAGTTCGCAAACTGTTAACGTTTACCAGAGGGTATCTGGGGTATGATATCAATCAGCAACTGATGGAGGAGATATCTATTGTGGACATTGGGGATATGAAAAACATCAGCTTTTATAGCTGGGAGTACGACTGTTATGTCTGACATCAAGTTGCTGAATTGAAAAAATCTCCCGGAGATGACGGTTTCTGTGAACACGGGCTATCCGCGTTTTTCAATGGATTGTCACCATGTTCGGATTCAAACTTAGCAATAAATTGCAGGTATACCCAATTTTGAGACACACCCATATGATAAAGATACAACTGGATTGTAGGGACTATTACTGAGGTCGCATTGAAACGGGATCCTTGTAGGGGCGGGCTTTTTTTCCAAGGTGGTGCCGGTTTATGGACTAACACAACTAGGGGGCACCTTATATTGATCAAGTTCGATGCTCCGAATGTGGCAACTGATGGGGTCTTCCCGTGTCCAAGGCAAATCGATTCAAATTTCATTGGAACAAATCATACTTATTCTTTCTGACTTATACCTACAGTAAATCAGTAATTACTAATTACCTATGAATGTTAGAAGATACTATTACAAACATGTCGATATAGATCATCCTTGAATCACCTTTCGGCATATCAAGATTTTGGTTTGTCTGAAAATAGGATACCCCCAATTCCTATGGACTTATTATCAGATGTCCCCATGAAAATTGTCATCTAGAGGGTATACCGCGGTACACCTCATTTCCAGACAAACCCATTTGAGTCACTGGCCACTGGCCAAGTATTTCTTGGCCAAGTCCCGTCTTCGCGTCTGGTAACAAAAGCTAACAAACTTTGGTCTGGTCTCACCAGGCTTCCCCAAATTTCGCCACTTCTAGCGGCGTGCCTGGTGTATTGTCTGCCCAATGATCGTTCCTTGGATCGTGAAACTTGCTGGTTCTTTTCCCGAACTTCGTGTTTTTTTCCCGAACTGGCTCTGAAAATTAGATCATTGGGTACTCCAAAATCTCCTGGTTGATGATCATTTCCTTATTCTTTGATGACCATAGGGCGGTTTTCACGCCATTTTCAGACACGCCCATGTTGGATACAAGATACTCACCATTTCATAGCCATATGATATGTATATACTATCATTTTACTAACTACAAACCATTTGCAAACCATAAACAACACACTTACTGTATTTACTACAATAAACAATAAACATATATATATATATCACGAGATCGACGTATCTACTAAGCATTCACAAAACCCTCAAAAAATACTGCCTCAACCCCCCCAAAAAATACACAGTCAAAAAGAAACAAAATTACACCGGCAAGAGGCCCCTTGGCCAGTATGCGGGGTAGTCAATGTGGACACACTGTTTGGGGAAGAAAAAAAGAAAAAACTGAACATCAACAGCAACCAGGCATCGTGCAATCCTTCTGCCATGACCCAACCACCTTCAACATAGCCCGCCGCAAACCTGGGGCTAAAAAGCCCCAGGTCATGGGACGATTTCGAAAAAATCGCTGAAGAAATATGGGAAACTATGGATTTCTGTGAAAAACAGTTCGCTGAACATGTAGGAAACTATGGGAACATCCTTTGTGCTATCTCTTGACAAAATTGGCAGCTTGCATTACAGGATTGTGGGATGTAAGTCCGGCAAATTGATACTGATGTAACACCCCGTCCACTATGGTCTTCAGCACCTGACATCCAATTTTCATCAGCCAAGTGCAATAGACAATCTCCAATGACTCCAGTGGCAGCCACATTCTTAGCTGGTTGGTAGCTGTCCACATTGTCACATGATGATCTCAAAAACCTTGATCCATCTCTTTCGCGTACCCCAGTTGATTCTAAACATGCAGGAAATGGTACCCGAAAATCTCAAAAACACCAGGGTTTAGCCAGCTGAAACAAATCTTGCTCGATTTTCTCCTATCTTCTCCGTATAGTAGAGAAACGTAAGTGCCAGGTTGCCTGTAGCCAGCACAAGCGTTTGACAAAAAAAAAACGTGTTTGTGGATCAATATCCTCATAGTTGAGAGAAACAACACTCATTCCCGAGTCATAGCCAGTTAGTTATAGCACTGTTTTATTCTGCTTCCCTGCTGAAATGTGTATGTTTGACCGGTTTGTGAACCCCCAGCACCGCCACGTAATTGGTAGCCTTCCACAGCAATACTTCATGACTTTCCATCGAAGCCATCAATCAAATCCGAAAACCAAGAGGATCCGAGAGGCCAGAGGCTTCCCAAGACATGAACGGAGACGGTCATCAAAATCAGCACATGTAGCACGGGGCGGATCCTGAGTGGCCACATCACACCAAGTCTAACATGAAAATGGCTGGTCTACCTGACATCGTCATCACCATCAAAAAATAGAAATCATCATAGTTGACCAATGAAACAGAGGCTTTCCCCTAACATTTGAGAAAGAAACATGTCTAGCAAAGAGCACATGCCAATCAAGTTTCTTCACTTTTCAGCCACCAAAATCATCAGAGTGAAATGATGCGTTTCCCAACCCACTGACCTACCCTGACCTACCCTGACCCTCAGAAAAAAAAAACATGTCAACACTTTGTAATAAACCATTCCTTGAGCAAAAAATCTTTAACCTTCATTAACTATATAATACGGTCCATTTACAGCCCCTTCACATCCCTTCACCAACCATTCACCAACCATTCACCAACCATTCACTAATTCCACGGATGGATCTACCAAAAAATCCGCCACAAAAACCATCCGCCCAGCATCAATGAACCAAACTCCGTCCGGAGAATGGTCAAACGACCCTCAACCTGGTCGCATGCAGGTGGTCGCAGCGCAGGTGGCTGGTCATCCACTGGATGACTGGGGGTTACCATGACTTAACGGAAACCTCTAAATGGGATATGTTGTTGATAAGCTACTTTTTTTATTTCTTGAAAGTTTAACATCGTTTACTGCTTGGTGGTTTCAACATGTCGACCTACCCCTCTGAAAAATGATGGAGTGAGTCGGTCAGTTGGGATGATGACATTCCCATTAATATATGGGAAACTAATCCAGCCATGTTCCAGTCACCACCAACCAGTTTAACAACCACGAATCAGTCGGAGAATCAGTCGTCATTTTTCCAAATTAAAAGAACAATCCACGGATCCGGAAAAGAGTGGGATGCAACATGACGGGGCCCTGAATTCAGGCCCCATGGTTGACCTCTCTGACTTTTCGCAACGTTACCCCTGGAAAAACAAACCACTTTGCAAAGGGATAAACATGGATAAACCTGGAAAACGGATGAATCCATGGCTCATTTGTCTGTAATGTCCCCCGGTCATTTGAATAGTTTGGTATGGAAAATGGATGAACATTGCCCATTTCTGGAAGATTTTCCAGTGTGATTTTCCCGTGGGCAAACTCTGAACACATACCCGACAACCACGAGGCCGGGGCAATTTGGCCCGAAGATATTCCAGTCTTTTGATGCTTGACCAACAACAATGAGATTTATACCGTGTAATTTATTTCAATTGATGAATCCATTTATGCATATATTTGTTGCATAATTCATCGCTAAGTTGGAAAACATATTTGATTTCATGGGCTGGGCCTTACCCCACACACCCATCGCCTATCCGGGAAGGGAAGCCTAACCCGAAGCCTAGGATTGATTGGTTCAACATGGGCTTTAGTTTTGATTGATTCAACATATTAATCTCAAAATCTTTAGTTAATGATTGATGTTAAGATATTTGAAGTATTCCCGGATATCTGATTTTTTCCATAGCTGAATCCAATGCTAAGTCCTGGATTCCGTTTAGAAACCACCACAAATCCGACTGAATTATGAATCGGGGGCAAAAATGATCCCTTCAATGGGATAACATGGCTGGATTATACGGAGGTTTCCTGAGTATCCTGAGTCATAGGGCTGGTTGGTGGTTTTAACAATCTTGAAAAATATTTGTCAAATATTATGGAAAATACCATTTAATACCATTATATAGTATATACCTTAATGGTTTTCTGGTTGGTGGTTTCAACCCCTCTGAACAATATTAGTCAATAGGAAGGATGACATCCCTTTTTTATTATGGAAAATAATCCAGCCACGTTCCAAACCACCAACCAGTAGGGCTACCCCCAGTCATCCATTTTTGGGCCCGGGATTTTCCATGTAGACCGCTGGCAGCGAGCCATGGCTTGACCTCTTGGCGCCTTCGTATAGCTCTCACCCTCACTGATCCTTGCAGCCCTAATATGAACATATATTGAATAGCACACAAGAAAAAAAAACATATACAACTCCGTTTAGTATTGGATCGGTTCATCACACTTGGGGTCCAGTCATGGTAGGTTTGATTGCACTCATTGGCTTGATGCTTTCAGATACGACCAGACTTCAGTCCAGTCGCTTCAGTCGCTTCTGGTCATTTCGCTATGGAAATCACCATGAAAGCCATGTTCGCTAAATCATCGAAGCCAACAAACCATGTTTATCCATTTTCTTCATCCATGGCGGATCTGGCGGACCTGGTATACAGCACTTCTCCAACAATTCGGCGTCTATCCGCCGCCTTGTCGCCAAGCTGCAAAGTTGAAGCCTTCCACAATTCTCCAGAGTCGAATGATTTGGAAGAACCGCAGCAACCTCGGGAAGCGCTGCGCTGGATTCCTCAAAACCACCGGTGTTGAGGGTTGACTCATGAGAGGACTTAACCTAAGACATCCTAAGACAATGATAAGGCCCTTGAAATGGAAAAACATAGATCTCTTCCCCTTCAAAACAAAATCAGGAGTTCCAATACTTCTTGAATCATCGGAAATTTGAACCCTACTTCAATTCCAACGGCCGTCCACTATCATCAACCTTCAACAACCCTTTCACATCAACAAGTCTCTTCAGAACATGAAGCTTCAACAATATCAACTTCAACAGACTTCTCAATAGCCTTGTTCAACTCCCAAAAAAGAATGAATCTGTTCATCAAAGCCAGAGCGAAGTAGATCTTTGAAGATGATCCAATCTTCAGGTGTCAACTCAGGTCTCTATTCAACTCGTGTTTTCAGATCCTTCTGGATCAACTGTAATACCCATATGCGCCATGGTGCTGGTATATTTACCTACATGACTGGGTGATTTTGTTCGGGCAAATGTTGGTAAAGATTCCAGACATGGAACATATGGGATACAATTAAGGCTATTTTAGGATCCCCATAGGATCCATGTATGGTATATATGCTAACATTGGGGGTATATTGATGGTAAATGTTACCATATATAGCATACATGGATCCTCTGGGATCGTTACCCCTACTAACCATGATTCCAGATGCTTCTTCTTCAAGTCCAAAGTACAGTATCATCCGCCTGAAACGGACCAGTCGCAAAACTCCTAAAGAAAGGGCCACGAAAATCGCTCGCGAACTTGCAGCCCTGTGTCCGAACGAACGAACATCGAGGTAGGGTAGCAATGTACTTGGATGAGTATAGATAATTGGTGATCATTGTTCTATTATTGTTCTATAATTGACAATTGATTGTTTAGATAATTGTTCTATGTTCCAAAAAAACACTGGATGATAAATTGATGATAGCACTATTTTCATCCTATGTTCTTCAGTGATCAATCTCTGAGGTGCAGAGGATAGCTGGCTCGACAGATGGTTCGCCATAACGCGCCATAACGCGCCATAGCCCCGACGATCCATGACAAGCAAAAATCACGTTGGATCTATTGTTTTGGGGGCGCCGAAATATAAATGTTGGGGATGGGATTGGTGGGATTAGCTCATGTTTTCCTGTATCATTGTATCAACATCTAACAAAAACACCAATTCACAGAATATTGTTCATTCACTAGTGAGAACGCTCAACAGTATGCAACATTAGCTGATACACCCCGGAAAACCCACGATGGAATCCTACCAACGCCATGGCGTCTGAACATAAGGTAGCCGTAAACCCACTACTTAATCATCAATTTGATTGTCATCACCCGGGGGTTAGACAAACCCCCAAATCAGACACTTAAGGAGCCCCGGCCGTCTGCTAAGAAATCAGTTTTTTTGGTAAAAATGGCCCACTTTTTATTGAGGCTCAATCCCTATCCAGGGTGAAATCCACATATTTCGATGGTGACGTGTCGATTTCTTTCATCTTCACCTTGAAATCAGGTAATAAGTTAATTCATGAAGATATGCTTTTCACCGCCGCAGTTTCAAGATCATATTCCTCGGAAATTCGGAAAATTCGGTGCTCCTGTAGGTTGGTCACCTTTCGAGGACATCACGACAATCAGGTCCGGCACCAACATCATGAGGTCGAAGAGAAACCTGGAGGCCATGACATTTTTCCGCAACTGGAATTGTTTTGTGAATAAACACATATAAACAAGTTTTTGTCTTAGTTTTTTCGAAAAAAGTTTCTTTGGAAAAAAGTTGATCCAGTTAAGTTACGCTTCTCTGTATTTATTTATCTGTCAGGTGAGGGTTGTTAGATTTTATCAGAGCTGTTCTCCTCCTCCGCCTCCGCAGCCTCCTCCTCCATCTCCTCCGCGTCCTCCTCCTCGCAGTCCAGATCCCAACCGCGACTTCCAGATCCCAGTGGGCACTGCCGGATCTCCACCGCGAGCTCCAGATCCCAGTGGGCACTGCCGGACCTCAACGGCGAATTCCAGATCGCAGTGGGACTGCCGGACCTCAACCGCGACTTCCAGATCGCAGTGAGCACTGCCGGACCTCAACCGCGACTTCCAGATCGCAGTGAGCACTGCCGGACCTCAACCGCGACTTCCAGATCGCAGTGGGCACTGCCGGACCTCAACCGCGACTTCCAGATCGCAGTGGGCACTGCCGGACCTCAACCGCGACTTCCAGATCGCAGTGGGCACTGCCGGACCAAAAATGAGCTCCAGAAGGCACTGCCGGCCTCAACGGCCAGATAGAATGCCAGAAGATATGCCAGATAGAATGCCAGAAGAATGTCAGATAGAATGCCAGAAGCCAGATAGATGCCAGATATGTCAGATAGAATACCAGAAGATTTGCCAACAAGAATGCCAGAAGATATGCCAGATAGAATGCCAGATAGAATGCCAGAAGATATGTCAGATAGAATGCCAGAAGATTTGCCAGTAAGAAAGTGTGTAAATGCCATGGTGGGGATGGGGATCATTCGAAGTGAAGTAATTTTTAATAAACAAATAAACAGTGACTATTTTTTACCAACAAAATCCGCTTGTACGATACGTTTCAACAAGACAGCAAGAGTGGCAACAGAACTCAATCAGGGTTCCTGGGAAAAATCTTCAGGCAAACCCCGCAATTTCACTCGACCGATATCTCAGTAACTCGTACCTTCAACTGGGATAAGGAAAGGGAATATGGAATTTGGCATGTTCCATCAGGTTCACGCAAGAGTATGCTTGACAATCATCCTTCGATGGTGGCCATTTGGCTCATCCTCATACCACATATGCTCCATGGTGCTGGAATATTTACCAACATTTGCCCGAACAAAATCACCCAGTCATGTAGGTAAATATACCAGCACCATGGTTCGCATATGGGTACTCTTTACAAACTTCTGGAAGATCCAGATCTACATCCAGGATGGCCAACGTGCACGTCGCAGAAATGCCTGACGCTCCAAGCTCCAAGCTGGACTGCGTCTCAGAAATTGGGCACTGGTGGCTGTGCGAAGCTTCCACCACCTTTGATGCAGAATCGCTGGAACCGAATGTCCTCGTTGGATGCACCAATGGACTCGCGAAGCTCTTCTGCTCAAAGCTGATGGTCAGAGACCCTTTGCAAAATCCATTGTTGGATATCGGCCCGAACAAGGCCAATATGCCAATATGCCCAGGACATCCCAGGACCACTTCCTGGTTGGTTGATGTTTTTTTGGAAGGAAAGAATATGTTTCATTTGATCTAGTTTTGCTTCTAATTATGGACTATATTAAGTTCTTGAATCAAAAGCTCTAGATCTAGTTTTTTCTCAAAAGTTTTCTCCATGTTTTTTGCTTCTAGTTGTGTCGAGAAAACATTGAGTTTCGTTCAGAGTAAGATCTTGATTTGCCAATGGAATTGACCTGGATATGCCACAATTTTTGATCTAGCGAATCCCAACGTTGGGATTTAACATGATTTAATGTGACAGCCTTCAGATACAACTCAGGTATCTGTTGATCATCTGAGCCTTCAAGGGAGTGAGATGGCATGGGTATAATTGTCCACTTCTCTCTATAGTTATATTGAAATATATTTCAGTGGGCTTTGCTAAAGTTAAATTTTGCAACTGAAAATTCTGCACTGCACTGGGACGTACCCTGCGGATACAACCTCGTGGGATAAGATTGGGATTATCGCATGGCACTAGGCTGGTTCCTAATCCAGGTAACATTAGGATTGCAGAATATGAGTTTGACAGCAGGATTAATATAGTACAATATACATACAATATACATGCCCCATATGCGAACCATGGTGCTGGAATATTTACCTATATACACTTGCCCGAAGAAAATCACCCAGTTGCTGGTAGGTTTTTTTAATATACTGAGGCTTATCCCGTGGGCCCATGCAACCCTAAACGGCTGTGAAATTTGGTGAAAACTGTTGATGGATTTCACCTTTTTTCAATGGGAATTCCCGGATTCCGGGAGAAACCAAGGAGGAAAATATAAACATGAGAATCGCTCAAGGGCTCTATATAAAAGTCATCTTGTGGTTGGAGTTTTTCAATTTCGATTCATATCTTTTATTTGCTAAATGTGGATCATCCCCTCAGGACCGCTTGAAAACAGCAATGTGTCTTGAGTGGCTACCGAGAAATTGCAACATGTTACAAGATGTCGGATACCCTATCCATCTTTCATACTAACCGGGATAGCAATTTCCAGCGGAACAAATAAAATAAGATTGACATGTGTGTATATATAAATATATACACACTATAAAATATTTATTTATATATTGTATATCTATATACCAGATAATATTAATGTAATATATATAGTTTAAAAACATAAATATATGTACTATAATAAAATATTGTATATATATATATATGTTTTATTTAATATATGCTATAATATAATAAACTATAATAAAATATAATATAATATGATATACTAAAACATAATAACATATAATACAATACAATATAATATAATAAACTATAATATAATATATAATATATTACAAATATAATATAATATAACATAAAATAATACAATATAATATAATATAATATAATATAATATGATATAATAAAACATAATAAAATACAATACAATATAATATAATTAATATAATATGATATAATAAAACATAATAAAATACATTACAATACAATACAATATAATATAATATATTAAAATAAAACATAATATAATATAAAAACAATAAAATATAATATAATATAATAAAATAAAATAAAATATAATATAATAAAATATAATTTAGCAGGGTTTCAAAGGCTTTCATAATAGAGCCCGTCTTGGACTGGCCTGCGCATACGCATACATAAACGGCTTCAAATACGCAAACAAAACGCATATTCCCGACATATCCAGAAATTGCGGCTACTAGCTGTTTTCTTTATGTTTCTGTTTGCGTTTCTTTTACGTAAGCGATAAAATAAGGCATTATTTGCCCAAAATAAGGTCTTATTTTTCTCCCGACATAAATAAAACATAAACCATATACAGATGTACAAACACAAACGTTACAAAATGTGTTTGCGTTCTCGTTTGCGTTTTGTTTATGTTTTCTATACGTGCGTTCCAAAATAAGGCCTTATTTTGCGTGATTTGCACAAAATAAGGTCTTATTTTTCCTCCGACATAAAAAAACACATAAATTCGCAAACGTATACATAAGTAAAACATAAACACAACGCAATCCAGTCCCAAAATACGTTAATATGTCACATCTATTTCGCATATGTTTCACATATATTTCACATACGGCTCACATATGTGTTCACTTGCGCAGCACATACGCTTCACATACGCATCACATACGTTCCACCAGCATAAAAATCTATGTTTCATATGAGTTTTACATATGTTTTGCATGCGCGGCCACTTAGGATATGTATACGTACCCCCTCGTCAGCTCCTATAGACAGAAGCCCTGGAGGCTTTTGGGATTCGGCTAAAATATAATTTAATATATATAAGCATAATATAACAACAAAAATCAAATCCCCTTGGAACCATGGAGATTTCAACAAGCTTTTTTTTCCATTGGATGTGAAAATCATCCCACATCGCGACTTTTGTTTTCTTGCTGACATTCAGAGCTTATTTATTGTCAAATATTCAATCTTTCCAATGCCAATAAACCTAAATCAAATCATCAGCAATCATCCCCATAAAACCATAGCTATTCGAGACGTATAGTGATTTCATTGCTACAAGGTGAGCCTGAGTTGGAATCGTTGGAAGTTGGTTGACAACAAAAACATTATCAGCCTCTTCTATCTCCAACCAAACAAAACTGGTGCAGCTTACAAATTCCTCAGCCATGATCATCTTACTGGTGCTTAGTAGGGAATTTTCATGAATTTTCGGGAATGATCCATAATCACTAGTAATAATCATCCCAGCAACCCGCATTCCCATCCATTCCCTACTAAGCACCAGGAAGATAAGCCATGATCATAAACACCCGTAACTTGGGAAGCAAAAAACATCCGGTCGCGAATCCACTTAGTTCACACCGAACGTGGATCCGAGTGGCCAGGTGGATAGGTAGGATTTGGCGATGTCAACGAGTCGACATTGAACGTTGTCGTTGACAAAGACCTGGGACTTCATGGGGACTTCGACTGGGGAAATCCCACGGAAAATTCCATGAAAATCCCATTAGAACCCCATAATCTGTAAATTCTGGCTGCACACTTGTGGCCCGAACTACCACTTACGGATGTCAGTAGGTCACACCATTTATGGAAATAAACACAAAAATAACTGGTAAAGGGCTTTATCTGCAATGATTTGTGGTAGATATTCATTAGTTACGTATCAGTTCGTATGAGTTAATTTATGGTTTTATGAAGCAACATACATAACTGGGAGCCATCTTGTACTACTCATTCTGAAAGGTTAGTTACTATAGTTATGATAGTTGATAAAATACTGAGACCCTGTGGCGTCATCAAACATGAAGGGCTTAAATCATCGAACAAAATGGGTGAGTTTCTAGCAATCCATGCTGGATGACGTCTGTTTCACGCCGAACCAGAACCAATTTCCATTGAGCCCTGAAAAAATTGTTAACCCACATACCCACCAGGTCTTGAATTGACTCGACCTCTCGGTAATCAAATGTGGCAATGGACATCTCACATTAGAACCATTAAAAAAACACGTTAAAATTAAAACCAAACCTTTTTAAAACTGTGAATTTCAGCACCTTAGAGGACGTTCCCATGGCAGAACTTGGGGGACATCCCGTTCGAAATGGGCCGGTACCATATAGGCATTGTATGCTCCAAAAAAAAGAAGGCTGCCATCCTGCTAAAAAAAGAAACTGTAGACACAGGAGATTGGAGAAATGGCGATCTTCCGATCGTGGGGGGGTAGGTACCTCCAATATATCCGTACCTGAAATAACCATTGAATGCCGCGCGGCGCTAATGCTCGGGATCATCGAAGGATTGAGGAAATTCCAAACATGTTTGAAAACAAGAAATGGCCGGGTATGGAGAACCATCCCCAACATACATTTACAGCATTTATAATGTATCAGTATTTATCTTGAAATTACTTCACTTCGAATGATCAAAACATGGCATTTATACATTTTCTTACTGGCAAATCTTCTGGCATTCTATCTGGCATATCTTCTGGCATTCTATCTGGCATTCTATCTGGCATTCTATCTGGCATTTTATCTGGCATATCTTCTGGCATATCTTCTGGCATTCTATCTGACATATCTTCTGGCATTCTATCTGGCATTCTATCTGGCATTCTATCTGGCATATCTTCTGCATGGCATTCTAGTTGACAAATCTTCTGGTATTCTATCTGACATATCTTCTGGCATTCTATCTGGCATTCTATCTGGCATATCTTCTGGCATTCTATCTGGCCGTTGAGGTCCGGCAGTGCCCACTGGGATCTGGAGCTCGCGGTTGAGGTCCGGCAGTGCCCACTGGGATCTGGAGCTCGCGGTTGAGGTCCGGCAGTGCCCACTGGCATCTGGAGCTCGCGGTTGAGGTCCGGCAGTGCCCACTGCGATCTGGAAGTCGCGGTTGAGGTCCGGCAGTGCCCACTGCAACCTGGAAGTCGCGGTTGAGGTCCGGCAGTGCCCACTGGGATCTGGAGCTCGCGGTGGAGGTCCGGCCGTGCCCACTGGGATCTGGACTGCGAGGAGGAGGCGGAGGAGGAGGAGAACAGCTCTGATAAAATCTAACAACCCTCACCTGGCAGGTGGGGAAAAAACGGATAGTTAATATCTATATCTAGAAATATCATCGGATAGTAAAAATTCCCTGGTATCGACTTTGAAATAACACGGTGTTCTGAACTGATTTTATCAGATTTCCAAGACATGATTCAATGAAACCTGCAGATTTGTCCGTGAATTGATAGTGTTATTGTTTTCGCCTGAATATCAAACCGGGGCTTTTCGGCCGATTCCTTGTCACCCTCAGCTTGGACAGCATGGATTTTCCCTGGTGTCAACATTCAACAAGTTGTTTTGCTAATGTCAACTTGCCAAGTTACATATATATATATATATATAAACCATTATTAACCATATATTAACCATATATTATATATGTATCGTTGCAGCTAACCATCTGGACGCCCTGCAAATTATAGATCTAATATCAAATGATCTGTTTGTGCCTGAGAATAGGCTACGCGGCTAGCCCAAAATTTCATAGTTAATCATTAGTTTCCCTTTTCAAATGGCAATTTGCTTGGGTATCCCCATTTTCAAACACCCAAATATCATAGCCGTACTTTATTCGTTATATATTCCATTATCATCCTATTATAAATTTCCTTCTATTACTGATTATATATATCCCCATTGTTGGATTTATTCCCTCCGTATACCACATTTTCAGACGCATCCAAATAGCTATGTTCGGTTACAAATCCCATATCCATCCATATTCCCATTCAACTCCATTAAATACCAACCAGTCAGAATTAGAATATCTTTGAACATTCTTATTCCATCTATTTCAGGGTGATTTTTGGGTAAAACGATGGATCTGCCAACCCCCCTTTTTCACATGTTTTATCGGTGCTATAAACCATCAATTCATATGGGTGGTCTATGGCATTGCTTTTACTAACATTGTATATGGAGGTTTCCAAAGTGGGGGTAGCCCCGAATCATGCATTTTATTTTAAGACTTTCCATGAAACTGTTGGGGTATCCCCATGACTTAGGAAACCTCCGTATGGCTTTGACTGAAAATTGCTACCCCTAAATCCTCTGCTTTAGCAACATGTTCCCAATTAACTATAGCCATTTTGGGATATACTCAATTGCCAAAAAATACCCATATATACATATATATGGATATATATATATATGTATATATGGATAAATATATATATATGTATATATGGATAAATATATATATATATATGGATATATATATAGATTATACATATATATATATTGAATATACATATTATATATATTATATATACATATTATATATATATATTATGTACATATTATATATATATATATTATGTGTATATATTGTATATTATATATATATATATTATACATATTATGTTATATATATATATATTGAATATACATATTATATATATTATATATACATATTATATATTATATATATATTATATATTATACATATTATATATATATATATTGAATATACATATTATATATATATTATATACATATTATATATATATATATTATATATACATATTATATATATATTATATGTGTATATATATATGTCTCACATTTTTTCAGCCTGACATGGGCATGGTCCTCCCAGTCAGCTCCGCCCCGGATTCCGGTCCCAGTGAGGTCCGAAAGGTCAGGTCCCACATGGTCCCACGGTCCCAGCCACAGCTGTGAGGAAGGACATGGGAATGTCCAGAATCCTCAGCGTTTTGGGCAAGCCCTTAGCGTAAACGCCATGGTTTTCACAGGAGACATATATAGGGAAACATAGATAAATATGTTGTTTGTGGACATGAACAAAGATAAATGCGTTCGAATTTGTTCCACGTTCTCTTTCATTTATAACATCTTATTGATATAATGTATCATCACGTATCCATATGTCCAAAGTACTGGAAAAGGAATGAAAAAAACACTCACTACCCTTCAGTAATCAAACATGGCTAGCTGGGAATTCCACCATTTCGCACACGATGATTTTCCCAGCGAACTAAACCTCCATGGCTAGTTCGTGGATTTCCCTGCCCTGTGTGATGACTGAAGGGTACTGAAGGGTAAGGATTGTATAGAAACCGGAGATGATCTCCAATAAAAACGACTGGACATTGTTGACTGGATTCAATGATCCATGATGCCGGAAATCATGATCAACAAAAATCAATAAACTCCAAGTTGGACATGATTAAAAGACACCAACATCATCCCACTGAGCATCATCCACATCCTAATGGGGACAGGTCTCCAGAAGCCGGTAGCGATCCACTGCAAGGTCTCAGCCGTGATCCGGAAGGAGTCCTGGTGGTGGCGCCATGACTTCGCTCGAAAAGGACATGGTTCCTCCAAACGCCTGGTATTTTAGTGGTATGTTAATGAAAAAAAATAATGGAACACAGTAAATTTATTTATGTATATTCAGTGGGATCTAATGGGGCATCTATGTTATTTCAATGATATTTGAATGGGATTTAATATCCGACTTACTGGGATATATGATATATGATGGTTACCTTCATGAGGTGGTCCAGCTCGCTTGCGTCCACCATCACCTCCGCCGTCCACCATTGAGCCGGAGTTTTCTGTCCGGGGTACGGTTCAAGTACCGGAGCACTGGATACCGAGCATCTTTGTGTACGTCGGGTGATTGTGAATCAACTCGACAAAGCACCAACTGCGGTGCCACAATGTCGCCCCAAAGTTGCTGCGCTTCGCTGATCACTGCCAGAAGGCGGGTCTGTTTCAGCCTCTAAAAAACCCTGGCTGTGTGGGTTGCACGCTTACTGAAGAATCACCATCTTTAAAACAGACCATCGAATTGGGCCATGGTTTCCAGAGCTACGTTGAATTTCCACCACGGGGATCAAAACTGGGTACGCCAACACTCCAGGAGAACAGCTGTTGGAAAAGGATGGGATCAATGTCACCCAGCCACTTAGCTTGGACCCAACAACTCATCCGGATAACCATCCTGGAGAAAAACAAATCAAACTTCTAAACATGGCTGAAATTCCATATCCATATATCATAATGGGATACTTGCTGGTGTTCAGCGACTTACCACTTCTGCCTATTCTATTAGCTTCCATTGTTTGACTCACCAATGCCGTTGGTCAAACATCCCGCCGGGTTGGAAATGGGCCGAGTAAAAACAGCATTTTGATGTGGCTGGCAAGAAGTCAATCATGCGTTTCGCAGTGTTTTTTCATGTTTCTATGTTGTCCATGAAGGTCAATTCTATTGTGATTTTGAATTTTCATTGGGATTTACTGTATATAGTTGACATGTCGGAATGCGAAAAAGGTTCCTTTTGGGAAGTCAGCGTGCCCAAAACCTCAGCGGCAGCCATTTTTTCCGGTGATCTCTACATCTTCGCTAAGTACGCACCTGTTTTCTCCAACAGCGC